TAGATAGGAATATATAAATTCTCTTTATCTGAAATGTCCAGAATAAGCAAATCCATTAAGATAGGAAGTAAACTAGTGGTTGCCAAAGGCCTGAGGGAACGGGAAGAGGGATTGACTTCTAATGGGTACAGGGTTTCTTTTTGGGGTGATGAAAATGTTCTGGAATTAGGAATGGTGATGGTTGTACAACTCTGTGAATATACTCAAAACCAAAGAGTCATACACCTTGAGCTTGTTCGAGGTCTGCTAAAGAGGGAGTATGGACAGAGAAGAAGGCCGGGAATTGAGCCTAGGGCTCCCCTCCACTTGCCTGTCACTCTTTACAATGGACAAGTAACTGGATATAGCCAACAAGGCATGAGGGGATAGCTGTTGGGGGTTTTCTGGGAAAGTCTTCCTAGCTTTTAAAACAGGACACAAGATAGAGATGTTTCCCCTCTTCTGGCTCTGAACATTGTCCTGTTCATGAGATACTCTGAACTGAGGCCACCATCTTGAGCCATGAGGAAAGCCACCAAGAAGAGCAGCCAAGCCCTAACCGGTTTGGCTCAGTGGATAGAGCGTCGGCCTGCGGACTCAAGGGTCCCAGGTTTGATTCTGGTCAAGGGCATGTACCTCGGTTGCGGGCACATCCCCAGTAAGGAGTGTGCAGGAGGCAGCTGATCGATGTTTCTCTCTCATCGATGTTTCTAACTCTCTATCCCTCTCCCTTCCTCTCTGTTAAAAAATCAATAAAATATATTTAAAAAAGAAGAAGAGGAGCAGCCAACTTGCTGATGTTGGCAGAGTAGGCTGATAGGAAGGACCCGGGCCCCTGATGATGTCACTCCACGGAATTAACCAGTCCTGAAATGGGCTCACTCTGACTTCTTGTTAAGTGAGATAAAACCCCTTTTTGAGCAACTTGATTTGTGTTTTCTGTTACTTGTAGCCAAAAGCACTGTCACTAATAGAGTATCAAATGCTGCTGAGATATCGAGTAATACAAGGACAACACAGAAGCTGTAGTTGTCCGCTGGTATCTGCTTTCTCTTCTTTGCAATAATGGAATTCATAGCTGGGTTGTGGCCATGAGACGAAGTTCTAGCTATGAGGTACAAGCTGAAGGGTGGGTCATACCCTCTAAGGAAAAAGCTTGAGCATGCCCTCTGGTTCTCTTTTCTTTCCATTTTCAATTTTCTTTCATGGACTGAATATGTCCTCTAAAATTTATGTTGAATCTCTAAACCCAAATATGACCTTGTATGGAAATAGGGCCTTTAAGGGGTACTTAAGGTTCAATGAGGTCATAAGGATGGGTCCATGGTCCCAGAGGATTAGTGCCCTTATAAGAAGAGACACCAAAGAGTGCTTTTCCCTCCCATGTGAGGACTCGGTGAGAAGGTGGCTAACTGCAAGCCAGGAAGAGAATCTTCACCAGGAACCTAATCCTGCCAGAACCTTGATCTTGGACTTTACAGCCTCCAGAACTGTGAGAAAATAAATTTCTGTTATTTCTGCTACATAGTCTATGATATTTTGATGGACAGCCCAATCTGACTAATACATTGGCTAAAATAAAAGCTTGATGGCAGAGGCTAGAGCAGCACTCTTGGAGCATGAGAAGGAAGCCCTGTATTAAGAATGGCAGAATGTCCCAGCCAGTGGCTCGGTTGGTTAGAGCATCTTCCTGTACACCAAAAATGTTGTAGGTTTGATTCCCGGTCAGGACACATACCTAGGTTGAGGGTTCAATCCCTAATTGGGGCATGTACAAGAGGCAACCGATGTTTCTCTCTCACATTGATCTTTCTCTCTCCCTTTCTCTCTCTCTCTCTCTCTCTCTCTCTCTCTCTCTCTCTCTCTCTCTCATCAATAAACATATCCTTGGGTGAGGACTTCAAAAAAAGAAAAGAATGGCAGAGCAATAAAAGAGAAGGAATTTGGATCCTTAACAATCATGAACTCTAGATCTCCAGTTCTAGATCTCCTACCAGGACTTCTAAGTGAAAGAGAAAAATAAATTTGGATATTGTTCAAGCCTGTTATTTTCTGGTAGATTATACTACTTTTCAGCAAATATTGGTATTCATTCTCTCTCCTCTTCCCCTTTATGAGAGGGATAAATTTCCCCTGCCCCACTGATAGATCACAGGCTTGGCCATGTGACTTGCTTTAGACAACAAAATATGAGCATATGGGATGTGTATCATGCCAAAGCAGACTTTAGATATGCTTGTGTGGCCTGGTTTGGTTTCTGGGTTCCTGCCTCCTCTACAGGAAGAGCATGCCCTAGGAAACTGCTGTTCCTTTCCTGGATCCTGGAATGAGAGGCTAATAAAACAGACCTGAACCCAACCCACAGCCTGAAATAGAACCATCACAGCCAACATGCAGAACCATGGGAGGAAAGTAATTTTTGCTTTAAACCAGCGATTTTTCAACCTTTTTCATCTGATGGCACACATAAACTAATACTAAAATTCTGCAGCACACCAAAAAAAAAAAAATCATTTTGATTCATTCATACCAAACAGCTATTGTTGTGTTGTCTGTTGTCATTTTTAAAATTTTACAATCTCAAGGAAAAGCGGTCCGAGCCCCTGACTAAATAATCAGTAATTGCATGTTTTAAAAATTCTTGTGGCACACCGGTTGAAAATCGCTGCTTTAAGCTATTGCAATTTAGGGGTTGTTTGTTTTGCATGTTATCACAGCAAAAACTGAAGAATACAGGTTCTCTCTGTTATCATATCAGAGCTCATATTCTAACTAAAACAAGGGATAAAAATAGGCCCTTGAATCTCATGACACGAAGGTCACTGGTGACCTTAGGAAAAATTGCCTCAGTGGAGTAGTGAGGCCAGAAGGCAGACTGGAGCAAGCTGAGCAGTGAGTGAAAGGTAAGGAAATGGAGATGTGTGCAGACAGCTCTTTAGAGAAGTGTGGCTGTGATGGAAGGAGAGGGATGGGCACCAGCTAGAGGAGGGGCTGTGGAGGCCAGTGGCAGCCTTGCAGAAGTGCTGCTCAGACCTGCCCTGGAGAAGGAACTTGCTGATGGGATGTGAGGAATTCAGTCAGCTGACAGCCTCCAGTCCAGCACCTTCCGGAAGCGCTGCAGCATTTGAGCGGAGACCACACTCTTGCCGGGCGTTTCCCAGTCAGTGACAGAGCATGGCAGGGATACCAGCACCTGAAGACCCAACCAACACAGGTGGGAAGGGTTTTCTGTTGTTTGCTTTTTTTTTTAAATTTCAGAGAGGAAGGGAGAGATAGAAACATCAATGATGAGGGAGAATCATTGATCGACTGCCTCCTGCACACCCCACACTGGGGATTGAGCCTGCAACCTGCCATGTGCCCTGACCAGGAATGGAACTGTGACCTCCTGGTTCATAGATTGATGCTCAACCGCTGAGCCACACCAGCCAGGCTGTTGTTTGCTTTTAATGATAGAGAGCAGAGTGTGCTTAGAAACGCAAAGTGAAGAATCCAGTTGGGAAAGAGCAGATGACTAGGGAAGGGAAAAGACACCCAGATGGAGAGAGGGAGGTCCCTGTGAAGGCAGAAGGAGATGAGGTCTGGACTGCGGGGGAGTGGTTCCTCCGGCCAGGGAGGAAGGAAAGGCAGGAGAGAAGGAGGAATGAGAGCAGGGTGATGGCAGACCTCCCATCGGAGAGTTTTCTTTTTCTGAAAAGTGGGAAGCAAGATGAGATCTGAGAGTCAGGAAACTAAGCCCTCCTAGGTGCATGGGCTGCGTCTCCATTTTCCACTCTTGGCCTTGGTCTTCCCACCGGGAACATTAACAGCTTTGGCTAAACCCCGGTCCCCAAACATGTTTGAGCCTCAGAGGCTTTTGAGAAATACACTTTTAGGGGGAACCCATCCCTGAACTGCTTGATCGGAATCTCTGGGACAGAAGTAGTGGGGGCAATAATCTATATACAGGGTGTCCCCCAAAAATGTATAGACACTTTAACAGCTGATAGCTCAATATTGAAAATGAAATATATTTTAATAAACACTGCCTTTATAATTATTCAAAGTATGTATATACATTTTTGGGACACCTTTTATATTTTTAAAAGTGCCCTTGGGCCCTAGCTGGTTTGACTCAGTGGATAGGGCCATGGCCTGTGGACCTAAGGGTCCTGGGTTCGATTCTGGTCAAGAGCATGTACCTCAGTTGCAGGCTCCTCCCTGCCCCAGGCCCTGCTCAAGGCATGTGCAGGAGGCAATCAATCGATGTATTTCTCTCGCATCGATGTTTCTGTCTTTCCCTCTCTCTTCCACTCTCCCTAAAACTCAATGGAAAAATATCCTCCAGTGAGGATTAACAATAAATAAATAATAAAATGTCCTTTATTAAAAAAATATTTCTCTCTGTCTTTTCCTCTCTTTCACTCTCTCTAAAAAATCAATGGAAAAATATCCTTGGGTGAGGATTTAAAAAAATAAAATTAAAAATAAATTAAAATCACATGGGAAAAAGAGTGCCCTTGGGCATGATGGGATGCATAGTCAGGTTTGGGAACCGCCCTGCGGGGCCTCCAGCTCTGTGGTTCCAGGGAGAAGGTGCAGCATTTTACTGAAGGTATAAACTATAGAATAAGCCACATGCCACACTTCCTGTCACCTATAACTACAAAGGCCCAAAAGGTACCAGAACTCAAGAGGAACCACAGTAAGATAAAATCAGTAGCAAAATCAGAGACCCCACCTATGTGGGAAACTCACCATGCACACTCTGGCCCCTGGGGCCATGTTTCCAGGCCCCCAGGTGGGCTGTGGGGCAGGTCTTGGTAAAAGGGACTCCCCAGGCAACAGGACTAAGGGGTTGAATCAGGGCCATCACAGGAGATCAGGGATGCTTGGCTGCCCTGCAAAGGGGTGGAGACCAATCCAGGCATTTCTGAAACCTGAGACCTGGAGTTGGGGGGAGGGGAAGGAGGGGCTGCCTGGCCCTGAGTGTCCAAGCCAGGCCCCCCCTCCCCCCATAGCTCCTCCTCTGCCTGGATGCCCCTTCTCTAGGGCTGCTCCAGACCGTGCAGGACACCTTCACTCTCCCTTTGCCTCCCTCTGCCCCTAAGGTTGGGTGGGGACAGGCTGGGGCCACCAGCAGCTCCATGGACAGAGACGTTGCCTCTGCTCACCTTCCAGCTTTGGAAAGAAAGGAAGAGAGATCTGTATTGATTTGCATTTGGGGGATCCTACACCCTCCTAAACTTCTGGGGGCAGAAAAAGTGATTTGACCTTGGATTGACTGTAGAAGAAGGGACAGAAAGAGCCCAGAGCATTCTCCCAGGTATGAATTCTTCACTTTTGGTGGTGGTGGTGGTGGTGGTGGTGGTGTGTGTGTGTGTGTGTGTGTGGTAAGTTTTCCACTGTCAGATGTGGAGTTGTTCTTGATGATCTCCCAGACCCCTTCTGACTGCTTCATTCCATGATTCTGCGGCACTAAACTTCATTCAGTCATTCAATAAACATTTCCTGTGTACCCATCCTGGGCCAGGTACTGCTATTGAATAAAACCTAGTCAGTCCCTGCCTTCAAGGATTCACAGTCTAGATGGGAAGACTGTGAATAGCTGCCATACTTACAGTGCGTCAGACACTGAGCTACCCCTTTTATAAACTTATTTAACCCAGCAACAACTGTAAGAGGTAAGTGTATTACTAACCCCATTTTACAGATGAGGACAGTGAGTCTTACTTAGCAAGGTGGGGTCACACAGAGTAGGTAGTAGTTGGTGGAGCTGGTGAAGTTGTGTTATGCTGCCTGCCTGCCCTGCACTTAAAGAGACAGTTCCGGGCAAAAGGTGTACTCATGAAGGGTGGGGAGGGAGTGAGAGAGCTTTAGAGCAGCGGTCGCCAACCGGTGGTCCATGGACCATTGGTGGTCCGTGAGGTCCGAAAGGTTGGCGACCACTGCTTTAGAGAGCCAAGTTCAAAGAGGGCAGGGAATGGTTAACCTTCACTTTGACCAAGGTTCCCAGGGAGTGAGGCAGCAGCAGGCTTGGGGCCAAGTTTGGAGCTGGAGGTAGGCAGGCTCCAAGAGCCCACTGGGAGCTCTTGGGTCAGCTGGGACTTGAGGTCAGTGGGGATCAGGATCAAGGGCCCTTCTCCATCACCCCTAGCCTGGGGTGGCAGGGGACACAGTGGGGTGACTTGAGGATTCCCAGCCAGGCTCCCTAGAAACTGGGTGTCCCATATTCACATGGGTGGGGCTGATCTGACCTGGAGGCAAGCGTCCCAGCTGCCTGAAGGTTGTGTGGCCTGAGGCCCAGGAAGTGGGGGGCAGACCCCCATCACTATGGATCTCCTCAGCAAAGATTGGACTGTGGCTCCCCCTACTCACAGCTCTCAACTCCCATCTCCCAGCTGTCTCCAGGCCAGGCAAAGGGAGGACAAAAGCTGATTATTCCACTGGGGGCTGTCCTAGGCCCCATGAATGGGGTATTGAAAACCCCGTGCCCACATCCAGATAGGTTTTCATCCTCTCCCCAACCAGACTCTTTGTATGCCAGGGCCGAGGCACAGCCAGGGAGAGATGGGGGAGGGGGTGTGTGCTGGGAGGGGCACCCATGGACCTGCACTCTCAATATATTGAAAACAGAACTATCCCCTCAGCCAGCACCCCACCCCTATTTTGTATGTGAAGAAAGCAGGCATGGGGGGTTTCTGGGATGCTGGTTACATGATGTAAATGTTCACTGAGTTCTACACTTATGACTTCAGTACTTTTTTATTTGTAAACCTCAATCCAAAATTTAACAACAACAACAAATCCTCAAGGGCTTCTCATCCCAAAAAGACAGAGCATCCCAAATGGCATTTATTCTCTCAGCCCTTCATCATTTTTTTTGCATATTTGTGAGTCATAGGAACTATATTTCCTTGATTTTTTAATTGACTCATTTCTTCTGATTTAAACTAACTTTAAAGAGAAGCTTTATATTGTTCCAATAAATGGAAAACCAGGATCCTTTGCCATAAATAGAAGGCATTGTTAAAAAAATAAGCAATGAAAATAAAACCATAAATATTCATTTATCTCCCCCTACATTGATGTGGGTTGCCACCAGTAGCACCAACACCACCCTTTGGGATACACTGCCTTTCTGGGTTTGGACCCAGGCAACCTTGCAACTTCATCTCCCACCATTCATCTTCACACACTCTCTGCTCCAGCCAGACCTAACTCCTCATTAGCTTCCATCTGTGCTCCCTTCCTTCTCATCTCCCAGCTGTTGCTCCTGCTGCCTCCACGCAGAATGCCAAACCCAAGTGGAAATATCACTTCCCCCTGAAGCTCTCACTGGGACCTTCCAGCTGGAAGAAGTGACTTGGAATTTTTAATTCCAGATGTTCCTGCTGTGACTTCTTCACCAGCTCCATGATGGAACCATTAGAAAGGCCATCGACTGGCTGGACACACAAGGAAGCAGAAATTCGAATTGGTCCCCAACCAGATCAGAGCAGGGGGTGGAGCCCTGGAGACAGGAGTACAGTACCTGCACCTATCCCCCCAGCCCTATCCTTCCTCCTCCTCTTGCCACTGGGTGAGTGCTGTTCCCCTAACCCAACCACTTCCCTTTCTGACTCTCAGTTTTCCCAGCTGTAAAATTATGGTGGGAGGTGGTTTGTAAATGAGGCGGTTTCCAACATTCTTTCCATCTCCGACATCTGTCCAGGGTTGATTAGAGCTAAGGGTCTGACTTGGAGAAGCGGAGGGCTCAGTGCTGGGGGTGAGGGATCAATGTGCACAAAGTATGGGCAGTTAAGGGACATTGGAAATAGGAAAGGAAGGAAAGGGGATGGGCTTACTAATGGCTGTTGGAAAGGAAGCTGGTCGAATATATGAAACAAATGACTTAGGGACTATCCTAACTTTAAAAATGAAGAAACCAAGTCTCGGTTTCTTCATCTGTAAAATGGGTACCTCAGTACATGTCTCAGAGCATTGTTATAAGGATTCTCTGAAGTGATGTATGTGAACGTGTCTAAACACAGTAATAGCTTGTGCACAAGTGGACTATTATGGAGTTTTCAATTTCCCTTGGTGGGCCAGTTTCCCTGCTTCCTCCCTGCCTCTCAGGCCACGTACTCAGAATTCTAAGGGGAAGGCGAGTGTGGCAATTTCGGTTGGAATCCCAGTTCTACCTTTTGCTGTGTGGCCTTGAGCAAGTTGCCTAACCTCACTAAACCTGAAGTTTCCCCATCTGCAAAATCCTACCTACTTTATAAGTTGTCCTAATGATGAAGTGGGCCAGGCCACATAGAGCAGTGAGCACAGTGCCTGGAATGTACATTCACGAGAACTGAAGCAGAAGGACTCATCTAGGTAAAGCTTTGGGGGGAATCACAATGAACCCCCAAACCAGTTCACACACTTAAAGCAGAGCTACTGAGCATCTGCTGAATAACAGGCTCCGGGCAGAGGGCTCTGCGGGACACCAAGCTGAGACAGGCATGGACATATCACCAGGCAGGAGGCCCAGAAAGGGGAGTGTATATGGTGCCCAGTGATTCAGAAGGAATAGAGAGCACTTCTAGCTGAGGGCTCCAGGAAGGCTTTCTGGAGGAGGGGGTTCTGAGCCGGGTCTTGAAGGCTCCCTAGGGCTGTAATTAGCATGATTGACCAGAGGAGACTGGTCAGAAGATACTAGAAGGCTTTGTAGAGAAAGCTCAGGGGCTGGGACTCCTATAAGAAAAGAGGAGTGTTTGAGAAATTTAGCAGTGGAGTGGGGATAAACAGATCTGTCTTAGGCAGCTCTCTCTGGATGGTCCATGACCAATGGGAGAGGGTGAAGCAAGGAGGCCAACTGGGACAGTCAGGGAAAGAGGTGAGACTTGGGGAAAGTAGGAGTAGTGAAGAGGAGGGGCATGATGGAAGAGGGGGCCAATGCTCTCCTCACTCTGTTTCAGCCAGTGCCCTACAGCCCACCTCACTGCCTTTTCCAGGTAGGTGCCCCTGCTCCTTCCTCCCCACCCCCCCTACTCCGACCCCAGGCACTCAGATGCTCAGACAGAAGACCTCTATTGTTTTAGATGCCCCAAAGGGACTGCACCAGTCTCCCCAATATATAGGAAGGGAGAAATGAGATCTAGGAGGGACTGTTCCTAAGGCTCCCATAACTTCATGGCAAGATGAGCATCCTGTAGGTTGGACCCAGGGATCCCCCAGGTGCCAGTTCAACCCTCTCCACAGAACTGAGGTTGGTGGGGGGTCCGAGCCGCTGCCGGGGGCGTCTGGAGGTCCTGCATGGTGGCTCCTGGGGCAGCGTTTGTGACGATGACTGGGACGTGGTGGACGCCAATGTGGTATGTCGTCAGCTGGGCTGCGGCCTGGCGCTCCCTGTGCCGAGGCCCCTTGCCTTTGGGCAGGGCCGAGGCCCCATCCTGCTGGACAACGTGGACTGCCGTGGGCAGGAAGCTGCTCTGAGTGAGTGCGGCAGCCGAGGCTGGGGAGTCCACAACTGCTTTCACTACGAGGATGTGGCTGTCCTGTGTCATGGTGAGCAGAGTCCTGTGACCTAGGAGGGCAGGCTGTGTCAGATAGCAGGGCTGAAGGCTAGATAAATGAAGGGACTTCCCAGCGGTAACACTGTTCCATGTAGAAGACCAAGCCAGTGGCTGCATTTCATGGTGTTGGGGAAGAGCTCCAGGCTGGCCAAGAGCCCTGGCCCCCAGTGGTGCTTCTAGCTCAGTGTGTGACTTTGGTCAAAACTCAACATTACTCCTTCCATGTAGGACTTTGACTGTTCCAGCAAAGTCCCCTTCTCATTTTTAAAATCAGATGATTGGGGTCAACACTGGCCACAGGTCCACTTGGCATAGAGTTACATCAGAAACCTCTGAGAGGCTTTGACCTTGAGAGCAGTGGTTTTAATTTTCAAGAAAATCCCCTGGAAGGCTCAGATTGTGGCCCCCTCCCAGTTTCTACTACTGCAGGTGTGGGGTTGAGCCTGAGAATTTCCCTTTCTAACAAGTTCCCAGGTGATGTGATGCTGCTTTAAGAACTAAAAGAACTCCTCTAGAGCTACTGCTTCCTGGACCCAGGGGGGCCTTTCACCTCTCCTATCCCTGGCTTTCATCCTTTGTGTGACCAAAGGCCCTGAGGAGCAGGCACCTTAGGAGTCCATGCCCTGCTACCTATACACCTGTGGGTGTGAGGATGGAGAACAGAAAGATCCATTTGTCATCCTCCCTTCCTTTCCAGAGTTCTTGCTCACGCAACCCCCAACAAAGAAAGTGTTAACCAGCAGGGCACCCCCTACAACTACCCAGAATGGGAGAGGTAAGTAAAGGCAATGTGGGGGGCCACCTGGGTCTTAGGAGAGGGACCCAGAGAACAGTCTCTGATATCAACCCTACGTGAGAAGAGAAGGATTACCGATGGTTGAGTTTGGTCATTCCTCCTCCCCATCCTGCCTCCTGTACCCCCTCAGGCTGCTCACCTTCTGGATAGGGAAAGAGGATTCATTCCTTTAGAATGCCTAAAAATAGTCAACACACGGTTGGAGAAAGTGAGAGGTGAGCGCTAGAGCTTAATCTAATGGGAGAGTCAGATATGCACAGAAATGCTGATAATGATGTAGAACAAGAAAATGAAAAGCAATCTAAAAGAGGCACAACAGATAAAAGGCGGGGAAGTCCGGAGGAGGAAGAGCGTCCAGTCCATCAGAGAGCAGGCAGGGCTTCCTGGAGAAGGAGTTGTTGGTGCTGCACCTAGGCAGGCGAGAAGGCTTTCACTGCAGTCTTAACGGAGGAAGCAGCACGACCTAGACCTAGACGCTCAGGATAGCATGGACAAAGGCAGGAGGGTTGCTTTTAGGCAGGGGGGTGCTGCACCTAGGCAGGCAGAAGGCTTTCACTGCAGTCTTTAAGGAGGAAGCAGCTCGACCTAGTCCTAGACGCTCAGGAGAGCATGGACAAAGGCAGGAGGGTTGCTTTTAGGCAGGGAGTGACACAGTCAAAGCCAGTCTGTCCTCTGATCCCACAAACCACCCCCAATCTGGGCTGTGAGGAGACAGTGCCTTGGGGGTGAATGAGTCGCTCCTCCAGGGCTTTCGCTTCCGGGACACAATGCCCTGTGGGTGTGGGGTGGGTGTAGAAGTGCATCGGTCTGGAGGTGATGGGAGGCAGCGCCCTGTGGGATTTGCTCCTTGCCCCCTTGCCCCCTCTTCTGCCCCCATCGTCACCAGGCGAGGGCAGTGTGCGCCTGGTGGGGGGCGCAGGCCCCTGCCAGGGCCGAGTGGAGATCCTGCACGGCGGCCTGTGGGGCACTGTGTGCGACGATGACTGGGGGCTGCCAGACGCCACCGTGGTCTGCCGCCAGCTGGGCTGCGGGGAGGCCCTGGCCGCCACCACTAACGCCTTCTTCGGCTATGGCACGGGACACATCCTGCTGGACAACGTTAACTGTGAAGGCGGCGAGCCCCGCCTGGCAGCCTGCCTGAGCCTGGGCTGGGGCGTGCACAACTGCGGCCACCATGAGGA